CCTGATAACAACTCAAGATAATTAAAAACTGCGGTTGCCAAAGCTCTTGCCAAACGTGGCAACCATGGCAAAATCCCCTCTTGTGGCAATTTATGAAGGAGGCCTATTTTCAGCAGTGGACTTTTTATTTGGACTTGAAAAAAATTAAATACCATGTTTCTGACAGTTATTTGTAAAAACTTAAATAAAAAACTTTTGAATATTCAAAACGTCCCGTCGTTCTAAATTCAAAGTAGTACCAACAAATTTCCGTTGTAAAAAGATAATTTAATTATAACTTTGTCTTTCACGATACACTTTTTATCTTAATCCCTTATAAAAAAATTAAACAAGTAGCAAACGCGAACTTCTTTTCTACTTTAATGGCGAATATATCCCAATAGAGTTATAATTTCGTTTTTAATATGTGTATGATGAGTGCTAAGAACTGAAGAGCCTTTTTAATAGTAACGAGGTGTTCCTTCTTAATTCTCAAAGATGGCAACGCATCTGCATTTTGATCCTTACTCGAGGATAGATGTAAGTCACAGTATTCACTTACCTTCAGGTGGATTGTGTGCTTATTGTCACCAGTATTCTAAACAAACAATTACAATCAATTTATCAATCATTTAAAATTTAATACTATTCTAGAAATTTTTTATAGAAAAAAGGATTTCAAATGAGCACACAGTCCACCTGAAGACATGTTAATACTTTAGCCTCTAAACAACTACATCTACCCGATTAAGGATCAAAATGCAAATGCGTTGTCAACCCTAAAAATTAAAAAAAAAACTATTTCTGATGCTATAATTTTTTTTATAAAACAGAAGAAACAAACGAACTTACCATCTACCTGATACCTCTGCAGCCCATCGACACCTGCGTCAAGAAACAATAGATAGTCATAAATAAAGTTACAGACTGTATGGAGGCCTGTGCCACTGATGGGCACTGGCCTCCCCTCATTTCTGAGAGGGTTTAAGGGCAAGGAAGTGTCCGCCGCGCTGCCCCAATACGTATTGGCGCACATCACATGTCTTCGAAATATTTTTTTTATATCTCTGACTTGCAGGTTTCCTTACGATGTTTTCCTTCACCGCCTGGCATGTGCTTGTTTTTACAGGATAGGGTAACAAACGAGCACACAGTCCACCCGATGGTAAGTGGTTGCTGTGACCCATTAGACATTTACATCTATCCTCGATTACGAATCAAAATGCAGATGCGTTGTCACCCGTGAGAATTGGATGGAATGCCTCGTTTCCAGTGAAAAGGTTCTCCGATTCTTTACACTTGTTATACGAAACACAGCAGCATTAAGCTATTATGTTACGCCGGTTACTTCTGTGAGTGCGTGGTCCTTCCTTGGTCGAGCCGACCTATTCGTGCTACAACTATACTACTAATATAATTTCAGCATGGCTATACCACGAATAAATATAAAATAGTCATAATATCTTTGAAATTAAATTTAGGTTTATAATATGTAAAAAACTTTTTAATCACGATTCATGGACTATACATCTTTAATTTTAATTCAAGTAGCCACTCGATAAGACTCTATAATTTACATTTCGCTAGAATTTTGTTTTAATATTTTCGAATGGATTTCCCATTTACGATCAGTCGTCAGTGCCTTGTCTGTCTATAAATTATATATAATCGGAAATAATATATATATATATATATATAATCGGAATCTCGGAAACGGCTCCAACGATTTTCAAAAAATTTAGTGTCCAGGGAGTTTCGGTGGCAGTAAATCGATCTAGCTGGGATTTATTTCTAGAAAATATCTTTTTGTCCGTGTTTACAGGCAATGAAAAACTGCTACAATATAAGAAGGTAAATTTTGATATTTTCATAATGCCTTGGTTCGCGTCCTGCCTTCGGTCTGATTTTTTTCCTTTTTTTTTTTGACTTCCCTTCTTTTGTGAGAAAATCTATTATTTCAAGCCTTTTTTTGTGTATTCTAAAAATACGAAAATTTTAATTAAACTAATTGCACTCATGATTTTTTATTAAAATAACCAGTTTAGTTTTTTCTATTATGTCAATAAGATCAAAATATTATTCATCAGTATGTAATTTTTATCGAAATGTAATTTCAAAAAAAAAACCGAGCAAGGCTCTGTCATCCGGGTACTTTTATAAATAATAATTCAACCTAATATCAAAGCAATTGTGGGGATTACGTTTATGCGCCTGTTAGTATTAAACGCCGACGCTACATTCGTCGGACGTGCGGTCTATACTTTAGATAGGTATAGTGCTCGTGTGGTGTGTATGTCGCACTATAATATTATCCAATTATTATATTCACCACGTATAACTCATTTATAAGGTCTACACTGAGAACTTGCATAGTTTTCAGTTGAGGAGATATCTTGGACTTTTCTATGTAAGTTAAAAATATTCATTATTAAATCATAACGATTTCAGTAGATTATTATATAAAAATATCCAAAATGTATCGCCAACAATTAACTGGAAATATTTATTCATCTAGAACAATTTAAAATGGTAAACAATATTAATTTTTCAAAAATAATTTTAATATTAATTGGTCTGCATTTATATTATATTTTCATGTCGATTTTTACAATTTTAATATTGTTAAGGAAAAGTTTTCATGCATTAAATACATGAATATTCTATTTTAAAAGTATTAGGAAACTATTTAGTTTTCGTCATAAGCAAAATTAATGATAAACTCACATAATTTTTTATATTCGTTACTATAATATCTAATAATACTAAATTAATAAATGAAACGCGTATTTTTATTTTTATGAAACAATTTATTCAAAATACAATTACATAATATGCAGAAGTAATGAATCAATAAATACAATCTTATTTATAATCATCAACATCAAAATAGCTCTAAAATGAGGCTCATAGAAATTGAATTAAATAACCTTTTGATCAACAACTGATTTTACCGAACTGTTACTGCACGTGACATTTGTTGTAAGTATAACAGTAAAATATTATAGAGCCACAGCCTTTGGGAAATATATACCTTCCTCATTTATTACCTCATAGGGAAATTTTTGCATAGTTATACCTTCCTCATTTATTACCTCATAGGGAAATTTTTGCATAGTTATACTTTCCTCATTTATTACCTCATAGGGAAATTTTTGCATAGTTATACCTTCCTCATTTATTACCTCATAGGGAAATTTTTGCATAGTTATACTTTCCTCATTTATTACCTCATAGGGAAATTTTTGCATAGTTATACCTTCCTCATTTATTACCTCATAGGGAAATTTTTGCATAGTTATACCTTCCTCATTTATTACCTCATAGGGAAATTTTTGCATAGTTATACCTTCCTCATTTATTACCTCATAGGGAAATTTTTGCATAGTTATCACACTTGGCAAGCAAGTTGGCATCCGCATTTTTTTAGTTGTTATTTAAAAGACGCTGCTGCTCATCTCCAGGTTTGTTTTCCTTTGTTGCCTTCTGGGATACCCGCAGGAAGATTTTTGGTACAAGACATTTTTAAGCCTCCATAACACAGTGAATCATGAGACACTAAACGAGATACTAAATCATTATGGTGTAAAATAATATTGCGGTTAAACTTATTATTTCATATATAAGAAAAAACTTAAAATAAATTATCACCTCCTCTTCTAATTTTCGAAAGATTCTTCTAAGGTTCGAAATACTAGTAGTGTAAATAGTGCACAACAAACTTTTTAAACCAAAATACTGGTCCAACAGCTTAAAGTTTAAAATAAAACTAAATCTTTTTATGCTGCCAGAGGTATAGCTTTGAATAGAAACGATTTTACATGCACTTCGTATATAATAAATAAAATCGTAACAAAGAACGGAACTTTTGTTGAATATAGGAATCGGGCATTAGCAAAACTGTAATGCTGCGACTTTCTATTCTTTCTTATCAAAAAAACTATTAAGAAAAAAAGGCACCCTTTTTAAGCGTTTACCGATGAACCCCTACTATAAGAAAGCGGTTAAGTGCATGGCTTGCTCAATTAGTGTTCTGTGATAAAAGCTCTCCCTACGCGATATCGACAATGTAACCGTATTCACTAAACTTCGACAACAACTTGATTTATTACTATTGTCCAACATACTTTTTTTTAAATTAAATTGACAAGCGAACTAACAGTCCACCTGATGGTAAGCGGCTGCTGCAGCCCGTAGACCGTTACCGTTGCAGCCTATCAGAACTCCACTGCTGAACATAGGCTTCATAGGAAGGATATTTGCCATAGTTGCCATGCTTGGCGGGCGAGTTGGTAACTGCAGTTATTTATTTTTTAGTTATTAGAAGGAAGACGTTACCGCCCAATACCTGACTTGTTTACTTCTGTCACCTCTGACGACACCCACGTGATGATATGGGCTATTTTATACCACCGTTTATTCGTGGTGGAGCCACGCTGCAGCTATATTATAGTTGTAGCACGAATGGATCGGCTCGACCGGGGAAGGACCACGCTCTCACAGAATACAAGCGTAAAATAGCAGCTTAATACTGCTGTGTTACGTATGGTGAGTGTAGAAATCCGGTCTGTTTGTCCTAAATAATAGCTGTCCCTGAGTGTGACAAGTAACAAAACCGCCAAGTAATACATGATAAAAGCATTAAACGATATTATACCTAATAACATCTTCCGTCCTATAAATATTTAGGCTTTGTTAAATTTAGTTTACACTTCTTTTGTACAAACTTTATTATACTTCATATTTATCCATAACATTAAACCATATAACTTTTGTCACTGTCATTCATTTTATAATAATAATAATAATAAAGACGTAGGGAATTGACGACCCCATCGCCCGCTGACGTAACAGTTAAGTGACAAAACTGCTACGTCAACGCAGTCAGTCAGCGCCTTGCGAGAGGTGTGAGCGCCGTGCCTCGGCAGAATTTAGGGTGCAGAGGCCCGTTTGTGCTTATGGTTACACACGAAACAGTGCCGGGCCTGGGCATCTCCCGTTAATGGACGCCCAAATAATGGATGATGGATAAGAAGATAGTGCGCAAAGGGCCGCTGCCTGGGGGTCGCCGGGGCGCGTCTGGAGCTGGCGCTGGACGCGGCAGCATGCGGGTCGCCAGCCGAGCGCTAGGAGCTGCACGGTCACCTAGCAGCCCTCCGCATCCATCATCCCCACCAGAAGGCTTGGTGTCGGCTGGGTCTTCTCGGACTCAGCAAGCGGCACCCGCCGCTGGTGGAGCACGTCGCATGCGTTGGTCACAAGCAATGAATGCAAACGCATTGCGGGCGTACTTTAGGGCAAAAGGGGAAGAAACTGGATGTTTGGCGTATCGGGCTAGGATGCATCGTCTTTTTGCTGAGCTGGAGCCATCTTTAACCGTCACAGAGCAAAACCTGGCAGACCGAGTTCGGTATATCTTGCGCTCAAATATATTTGATGTCGCCGAACTCGAACGGCTACGACGTGAGGCTGTTCCCTCGTCGGATGAGAATGCTACGGCTGAGGATGCGGCGCCACAAATGGTAGAGCAACCCGCAAACGTGGATGCCGCCGTGAATAACCCAGTTGTGGTTGATTCAAACGATGATGGAACAGTCGCCCAGGAACTGGAATTAGAGCATATGAGGAGTACATTGGAAGAGGCGATTGTGGAAACGCGCAGTACACCTCTCGAAAATCGACCGCGACTTCCCCGCATAGCCCTAAGCAAGCGGAATCGGGCTGTCGTGAGGGCTCTGAACCCAATGCTGGTGACCTATTTGGAAGCCAGCCGGGACCTTTGCGAGACGGACTCAATTCTTTTTGGCGCCGCGCTGGCAACCTGCCGTATCATAGGCGCCAAGGTTTACACGGCTGGACGCGCTACTGGCCATAGTAGCGCTATCCCAGCATGGAGAAGAAGAATTGAGGAACGTATCGCAAAAGCTAGAGCTCTCATCGGCAGACTGATATGCTTCAGATCAGGCAACAACAGGCCAAGAATTGTGCGCACCGTCAGGATGGCGTTTGCTGGGACAAATGTCAGTTTGTCCCAGCCGGATATAACGTAAAAACTGACGGAGCGCATAGATGATCTGAAGCAGAGAATCGCTGCTTGGAGAAAGCGGATTCGGCGATATACCGAGAGGTCGACACGGTTCAACCAGAATCGTCTCTTTCAGAGTGATCAGAAGAGGCTCTATGAATCATTGGAGCGACCAATGGTAAGTGAAACGGGTCCAGCACCGAATCAGGCCGACACTGTAGCATTCTGGCGCGGCCTGTGGTCAGAGCCCGTAAACCACAGCGAGGGCCCTTGGACGGAAGTTGTGGCGAGTCAGTGTGCGGGTATTACGCCCATGGACCCCGTCATCATAACGCCGGATGACGTAGCTGAGGCGGTCCGTAAGGCCCCGAACTGGAAAAGTCCGGGGCTTGACGGGCTGCATCACTACTGGCTGAAGGGGTTCATGGTGTGTCACTCTGTGCTCGCCCGACAGTTTCAAGAGGCTCTCAACCAGAAGTCGCTCCCAAGCCTCTTCACTACTGGGATCACTCATTTGGTTCCTAAAGACCAGGGTACCACAGACCCGAGCAAATACCGCCCCATCACGTGTCTACCGACCATATACAAGACACTAACATCCATTTTGAGCGCGAGAATCACTTGTCACCTGGACTCAAATCAGGTGATGTCGCGCGCTCAAAATGGATGTCGGGGCGGTGGTCGTGGAACCAAGGAACCACTCCTCATTGACGCGGTCATTGGCAAAGTGGTGAAACGCAACCGTCGGAACTTCTCCGCCGCCTGGATAGACTACAGAAAGGCATTCGACTCGGTGCCCCATACATGGCTAAAGAGAGTCCTCGAGCTGTACAAGATAGACTGTACAGTTAGAGACTTCCTCGAGCAGTGTATGGGGCAGTGGAGTACGATCCTTTGTCATCTGGGCGAGCGGATGATGGCTGCGGAGAACCACATAAGGATAAGAAGGGGTATCTTCTAGGGCGATTGTCTGAGTCCAATCTGGTTCTGCCTCTCTCTGAACCCTCTCAGTACCTTACTGGAGGGCTCCGGGAGGGGGATTTCAGCTACGGAAAGGAGGGACAAAAGTGACCCACCTTTTCTATATGGATGACCTCAAGTTATTCGCCTCCAGTCGCTCCCATCTTATGGAATTGCTAAACATCACTTGTGAATTTAGCAATTCCATTGGAATGGAGCTTGGGACGGATAAGTTGTATATGTTGAAAGGGGAAGGGTTGCTAACTCTGAGGGCGTAGACTTATCTATGCCCGTCAACTTAAGGACCCTTTCCGAGGCTGAAACTAACCGATACCTGGGTACGTCACAAAACATCGGTATCGATGAGACTGGTATGAAACAGTCAGTTTGCGACGTATTTTATGCACGCTTGACCAAAGTGCTTAACAGCCTTTTGTCCGGTGTGAATAAGGCATACGCATATAACGGCTGGGTCATGCCTGTCCTCATGTATACCTTTGGCATACTCAGGTGGACTCAGACTGAACTTAACGCCCTGGATAGAAAAGTCCGCACTACCATGACGTCCCATAGGATGCATCATCCGAGATCGTCGGTAATGAGGCTGTACTTGCCGCGGAAGCATGGTGGTCGTGGCTTCTTGAGCGCGCTCACCGTGCATAATCGCGAAGTGTGCAGCCTCCGTGATTACTTCCTGACGAGATCGGATGATCCATTCTATAAGGACGTCATTTCTTGTGATAAAGGACTTTCCCCTCTATCCTTAGCCAACGAGCAATGGCAAGACCCGGCAGTGCAGAGCATTTCCGACCGGGAGACCGTATGGAAGGAGAAGGAGCTCCAAGGGAGGTTCTACAAGACTCTACATGAGCCTTTCGTAGACACAGTAGCCTTCCTCCACTGGCTACGCTTTGGTGATCTCTTCGGGGAAACCGAGGGGTTTTGTCTGTGCAATACAGGATCAGGTTATTAAGACCAACAACTATCGGAGATACATCCAAAGGATGGCACCGTCGACATCTGTCGAGCTTGTCGCCATCCTGGTGAGTCACTTAGGCATGTTATCTCCGGTTGTTCGGCGCTTTCTAACTCTGAGTACTTGCACAGGCACAACCTAGTAGCCAGAATTCTACACCAGGAGCTCGCTCTGAAATACGGTCTCGTGGATCGGAAATTGCCGTATTACAAGTACTTGCCGGAAGCCGTGCTCGAAAATGATCGCGCCAGGCTCTATTGGGACCGGGCCATCATCACAGACAGGACTATTCTTGCGAATAAGCCTGATATTGTGCTGATGGACCGGGCACAGTCAAGGATATTTTTGGTCGACATTACCATTCCGTATGACGAGAACCTCGTGAAAGCCGAAACAGACAAGCAAACAAAATATCTGGACCTGGCTCACGAGGTGACCGACATGTGGGGTGGGCTGCCGACCGAAATTATTCCTGTAGTCGTCTCTGCAAACTGGCTAATCCCAGTCAGCCTCTCGGGTCATCTGAGGCGGCTGGGACTACGTGGCGGACCGCTCCGGGCTCAAATGCAGAAGGCAGTGCTCCTCGATACCGTCCGCATCGTCCGCCGGTTTCTTTCCCTTTCCCCCTAACCCTCGGCCGTTTGGTCTCCCCTGCCGAGGGCCTCCATCTGGTTGGGCTTTTATTTATTTATGTACTTTTATATTTATTTTATGTTATTGATATTTATGTATATTTATCTTTTCATTTTCATTTATAATTATATATTTATAGAACCCAACCAGATGAGAAAACTATATAGATACTCCAAATAATAATAATAATAATTTGGCAAAATTAATTGTTAATTCTTTTGAAAATAATTTAAAACTTCGGACGAAAACAGAAACTAATCTAACTGTGTGACTTCCATGAAATATTTGATGCTGGCAGAATCCACTAATAGTTGCCAAATAAAAAAATTAAGAGAATATTTGTAATGAATATCACGTATAGAACTTCTTTTCTGCTGAAGAGTGCCTCTAGGTAGATACCCTCTTATGTATTTCTGCCGACTAATATACTATTATCTTTTATATTATATTATATAAAAACCAAAGCTTTCTTTTTCTGTTTCAAAGTTTTAGAGAATCAGGTTACAGACACCACATACATCCAACTCTTACAAATCATATACAAGAACAGCATCCATTAAGATCAAGCTGAGACGGATCGCTAGTTATAAATAAATTCAATGCTTGCATTGCTGTGTTAGCTCAGATGGTTAACACTCGCTGTCAAGTCATATTACGCAAGCAACCCGGATGCGATCCCCGGCGGAACCAATTAAATTGGTATTTGCAATTTTAAGCGCTGATTTACCACGTGCTCGGTGGTGAAGGAAATAACCGTGAGGAAATCTGCATGTCTGAGTAATAAAAACAATATTTGGAAGACATGTGAAGTTCGCCAACATGCATTGGAGCAGCGCGGCGGACAATTCATTGCCCTAAAACTCTCTCAAAATGAGAGTAGGCCTGTGATCAGCAGTGGGACGTATATAGGCTGTAACTTTAACTTTTATTGCTGTGTTCGGGTTTGAAGGGTATAGGGAGCCAGTATATAACAGGATGTGAAGTATCCCATCTTAGTATCCGGTGTGACACTGCACCTGTAGCTTTTTTATATGAAGTTGGTTGCAGGTGTCCACGGACGGCAGTGGCCACTTATCATCAGGTGGACTGTAAGTTCATTTGTCACTACAGCTTTTCAAAAGAATCGAACAGTGACTTTATTACAAGATCCATTGTCTGCTTCGTGCTGATCTTGTCTATAAGATTTCTTTTCATATAATATTCATATAGCTCATAAAATTCTTGAAGCCCTGTATGTTAGGACTTTCAGTAGGCGTCACTTGCAAACAAAAAGGCATAAATAAATCATGCCGCCTGATTTATTTGCTTTAGATACAGGTTATCTTTCTTGTGCTTTTGTGTGAAGTAAAATGTTTAAGGGACATTGTAAAAGTTTATTTACATTACATTGAAATATATACTATTATTCAAAAACTAAAATTTAAATTACAGTCCTACCCACCGTGGTATCGCGGCACACTGTGAATAAAATATGTCGACGAGAAAAAACACTTCAAACAACTTCGAGTAATAAAATTGGAAAACCATAAACTGTTTCATGAAGGACAGATACTTTAAGCGAAATTCAATCAAAAGTTCGTCATTCAGTAAGTCACTGAAACTTGACTATGGCGCATAGTTCACCTTTTTTTAAACTTTTTTTTTAAACCAAAATTTTGACTAGTTTAACAGCTAATAAATACTTAGATTTAAATGGAATACGCGTCAATCGATACAGAAAAATTCATGAATTCATTATAGCCTGAAGTCAAACTCAAACTCAAACATTTTATTGCGTTCGTGTGGTTACATAAATAGTTCTTAAGTTGGATATATTAGAGCTAAATATGAGCCATGATAGGGCGTAGCAATATTATATTATATTATGTTATATATCAATTTATTCTTATCAATTTAGAAAGACTAATTTTATTTTATTTACTTAAACTACTTACTTAAAACACTACATTACTTTTAGGTTTAATAAACATTTGCAATATTTACAACGATATTAAAGAGGTATACATATTCAAAAAAACAATTATTATTTTTCACTGAAAAACTCTGACAACGAATAGAAACTTTTTTCAATTAAATATTTTTTAAGCTTTCTTTGAAATTTATACAACGATTCTTCTTTTTATAGAAATTTGGGAATTTTATTACAAATTTTTACACACATACCATGGGGTCCTGATTTAACTGTTTGTAATTTTGTGATAGGTGGAGCTAATTTTATACTAGGACGTAAAAAATGAGGCCGGGAGTATATTAAAAAAAGGTGTATATTCTTTTTAACAAATGTGCAAACTTCTAGTATATATATAGATGTAATTGTTAATATTTTTAATGAAATAAAGTAGGGTTTACAGCTGTCAGTGCTATCTATGTGTGTAATTATTCGGATAATTTTTTTTGTAAAATAAAAAATTTATTTACGTGTGTGCTGTTTCCCCACAGAAAAATGCCGTACTTGA